GAAGACCCCGTAGTCGAATAACGAAAAGCCGAAATGAATTCAGAAAAATGCATGAACCGAACTAAAACTCACTTTGGGTTTCTTACCCCTCTTTGGGGTGTTCTTCGCCATCGTGTAGATACACTTATCCAAATATAGGCACTCTAATTCCTAAGATAGGCACTGTACTGGCACTAGTTCTGGTGGGGTCAAGGGCCAACGCCGAACTGCCGAACTCACGAGCGTCTCGAGACACCTCAGAGCGCGGAATTCACCGCTCAATCACCCGAATTTTGATTGGTGCGGACACGCCCCTCGAAGGTGCGAATCTAACGACAATTAATCGCGACTCTCACGACCTGGAGCGATTATTCAAATCTCACTTAACTCTTCTCTAATCACCTAAAACAAAACTAGTTCCTTTTTATTAATTATTACACGAGACTAGGCCGAACTGATTGTCGTTCGGATAATTACGAAGGGTCTTTGGCGCTTCCCACGGATCGGATCTCCGGGATTTTCGGGGTTAAAAGACAAGTTACCGGCACTTGTTATAACTTCACTACTAATTCCTGCTCAACTCCTTTCTCTCATCAAAAACCCAAAGGCAACCTGGCAATTCGTTGGAGACCGTGCACTCGCTCCGAACGACCTTCCACCCAAAACAAAAACGTAACTAATTAACCCCTGAAAATCCAACGAAATTGGAGCGCCGGCATTAACAATAGGGTGAACCCCATAAAAAGAACCAGATGACTCTATAATTTTGGCCCTTCTTCACGATAATTTTTCTGGGCCCTCAAAGACGCGTAATTACTAATCTTTACTAACAAACGGAACCGATAACTCTAACCGGAAATAAGCCACTCGGAAGTGGATAAGGGACTCTCACTCTCTCGCTCTTGGATTTTTACTCACGGATTTTAATTCAATGGTGTAGGACTCTCGCTGTTTACAGATCGTTTTTAGTGTTCCTAACGAACATCCCCACATGTTCGTTACACCCTCATGGCAAACATATTCAATGATCGTAGAACTACAAGTAGCTCAAAGCTTCGATGTCTTGGAACGCATGTCTCTACTTTTGTTTGTTGAATATACTTACGCTTGTTGTGGAGCACATTATTTTGAATCCGTTTGTGTGACCCGACATTTCCTGCAGGGATATTAAGTAACCATAAGGTTATGTTTACTCTTGCCGATGGAGCATCAATTATTCTGACGCCTGATTTTGAGCACACATATTTTTTTATAAGACATGGCCATTGCAAAATCAAGATGGCGCCTCTCACTGTTTTAGCTGATCCTCGTCCCTGGAAGGAAATTCAGGCATTAATTTTTCAGTGTCGCTCATTGTGAAGCACATATTATTTTAAGCTAATTTGAGTTATTGTAACAACTACTACACATGTTTTCCCACTTCTAGCCCTGAATCCCGAACAACCCCTCCCCCCATCAGTCATTCCATCGGAATTATTTTGAAGCCCGTAAAAAGCACATAATTATGGCATAGAATACTCAATTGATATCATACAATTTTTTTTCCATCCCCAAATGTTTTCTCCCCCAGAAAGGTGGTCTCTTCCGTACGGGCCGGTCTTCCACTTCCCCCTTCAATTTTCTCAGAGCACATAAAAAACACATAATTATGACCTCATGTATGTAGCCATCATCATCAATTTCGATTTTTCTACTTTTAAGTGCAATTTGCCCCTAGATAGGCGATTCCTCCGTTCGTGGTTCATCTCATGCCCCTTCACCCTAATCAACCAAAAGCACCTAAAAAGCACATAATTGTGACATATGTTCTTTTTTCCTCGTCCCTTATTTAGCACCCCCTACCCTTAACTTCGGAAGGGTTGAAGCACCAAATTTTTTTGTTGCAGCACCAAAAAACATGAAAAGCACATAATTTTGATCAAAAAAAGATTATCACTTTTTGACTTTTTACGGCCAACTTTATGGAGGCCAAAAATTGAATAGAATTTGTTGATAAAATTCGAATAGAAGTCGAAGAGAATTTTCACGAGGTTCGAATAGAAATTCAGTAAAATTTCTGAGAGAAAGCATGAAGTTCTTTCTATTGATTTTTTTTCGTGTATCATTTATGATCTTCAATACAGAATCTTACTTTTTTGAATCATCGTAGGAATAATTTTTCAACGTTGAACCAGCCACCAGTATGTCCTTGTGAAAAGATCTGTAAGGAGAAAAAAAACATCCATTGCACCTATTGAAAATTATATCACAATCTATATGAAAAAAAAATCGATAAAAATTAAGTCTCATCTTTCTAGATTGTTATAAAAAATGGGCGAAAGAGTAAGAAGAGACTGGGGATGCATCATGAATTTTACGAAATCATGCAATAAATCTGTTAACAGGAATTTATATTGGGATAAAAAGTCGATGCATTTCGATTCCAATGATTCTCATAATGCAAATCCAATGAGTTAAGTGAATCGATATTAGAGTCAACTGAATCGATTTCTTATCTCAAATAATGAATCCACTATTAACCGATTCAAATAATGATCACGAACATTCTTCAATATTTTTCATGACTCAAAGCCAGAGCTGAAATATGAACTACCGGTAATATTGATAAATGATGGGAGCGCCGCCGCCATCTCTTCCACGAGGCGCGTAATCCCTCCTCTGGCGATATTTTCCCTTCCAATATCTGAAAGGATGATAAGAGAAATAGCATTGGAGAATAGTTAAAATAGTAAGAGTGACTGGTGGGATGCAAAGCGAGGGCGCGTTCGAGGATAAATTGAAGTTATTAGTGAAATAGTAGAACAAGATAATCATCACTATCAGTTCGTAGAGAATATCGCAGAATTGGGGGGAATGTCAGATTTTTCAGTTGAACCATTTTTATATAGAATAATGAGAGCTAGGGAGAAAGTTTACTATTTCCATCAGGTCTGGAGATATTCATCGAAAATAAACGCTAAATTAAATAAGTGGAAGAAGAACTACTCTTATTAGTGCATTCAAAATAATTCTCATACATCAAGTATGAAAAAATTTTAGAAGAATATCTTGCGCTCCCTAGGAGGAATTCTATGAAATTTCTATTACAAGTTTTTTTAAATTTTTTTATTTTTTCTATTTCATTGGTTTTATCGAAGTAGTTCTCGATTTGAAACCCCTCCTCTAGCCTGCCTCCCCTCCTTCTACTTTTCCTCTCATTGTTATCTGCGGTATCATGGCCGTCTTACTCTTAGCTGTGCTCCATTCGAGCTAGGACTGCACGGGAAACCATCTAAAACCCCAGTCGCCCAGCCGGCCGATTGTGCAGTGCCCTAATGTATCCTGGCACACTGACTAGATGGAGACACTAGGCCTCTACACCGTGCCTACCGCCCGTAATTTTTGTGCGAGCGAGGTGTTCCTAAGCGGTCACCTATTTCAACTTTATAATACCATCAGTTCTATTAAAATTCTATTGAGGAATTATTGATATCTTGTAAGTTAATCCTGTTTAAAATTATGCAATTTCCCCTAGAGTTTTTGAATAGATATTTGTTTATAGAACAAAATCTATAGATGTTGATTCATCTATACAACGGATTTTGTTCAGATTTCAATGTGAGAATGCTTCGTCATGATTTTTTTCTTAGATTCCATTGTGAGAAACAACCAAATATACAGCAGGAAAAATCTCGAAAATTTACACCCAAAAACCCATACAAAAATCAAAATCCATTGACTTATTTGTATCAAAAAACTCTCCACAACATTACGAAATAATCAAATATCTATTGAAAAAATTAGATAAGAAAGTAGCATAATATTCTATATAATTGACGCGACAAACCAATAGTATTTTTTCTGCAACCTCTGTGCTTTCCCCAAACAGATATTTATTTATAGAATAAAGTCTATGGATGCAGATGTTTCTAAATAGCTAAATTCTGTTCAGATTTTTCTTTGAGGATTCTTGGACATGCAAGAATCTCAGATTTCCAGTCTTCTTTTCTATTCTTTCATTTGAGTTTGAGAAACAAATGAGAAAACAGTAGAAACAGCTTAGAAAATTTATGCTTTAGAATTGACGCAAAAGAAACAAATAGTATTTTTAGAGAATCCTAATAGAAGTTTTGAGGCTTTCGCGGCCATTATTAATGACTTGGTTGGCTTCCGGATGGATGCCGCGTTGAGTTTCAGCATTGCGCCGACGTTTCACAAACATTGCAGTCTGCATCTTCAAGGCTATGAGCTCCGATTCTGAGCTCCGATGTGTGGGGGCAGTCCTTATATACCTTCCCTTGTGGCGGTGGGGGAAGGGGAAGGGAGGGGGAGTCAGCCAATCATATGTTTTTAATTGATCAGCTGGTCAATTAAAAAACCGGGAGGACGGTTTTCCAAATGGGGTTCACTTGATATCCTCTGTCCCTGTTGAGGTTGTTAGGGTTTTTATGGATCTCCAAACCCTCTCGGTATTTCCT